TCATTATAGTTATACCCCCCGGGTCTTATTCAAGAATTAAGTAGGATGGGTGGTGAATAATACCCGGGTCTTAATCATGGGGTATTATTTTGGGGGATACTGTATGCAATAACTAAGCTTTCTGCTTACGCGTTTGACACCTAATTCATTTTGTTTTGGATCATCAGTATATAACCACTGATATACTTGTTGATATTCTTCTAAAGTTGTCCAAGGTACAATTCTGGGAAAACGAGACATTAAAAAACGTACAAAACATGATTTTAACATATATATAGTTATATTTCGTGTCAAAATCATGTGCCTGCAATAATTTCGATTATCTTGATCTATTTGAGGTTTTACAAACCACGTGAATTTTTTAAAATCCTGCATACGTATTTCTTTCCTAATTTAATCCATATATTAAAAAAAATCCTCAGACAAATTGATAGAATTTTTTAGCTGAATTACATTTCCGTCAGAGGATTTATTATTATAGTTATTACTTTTTATTTTATCATCCTACAAAGATACATCATTTTGCGAACAGCGATAAAGGTTGCCATTTATTGCAAAACAGTGTATCTGATCAAATATTGTAGATCGCAATCATGAAGGTACGTTTTTTTAGCCAAGGATTCAATATGAAATATAATCTTTTTTTGCTCGTCGTATAAATCATCGTTCGCAATCGCCCGATTGCGCTGCGGACAATGACTTTAGTAAGCATGATATGGCAAGAAAATGAAATACTATATGTTGAATCTGGTTAAAAAATGTAACTCACAATCGGACGACTATCAGGTGATTGCGATCTACAAAATTTTATCAGATACCGAACATATTTGCGATAATTCAACCTAGCGCTAGCTAATCAACATTGATTATGTAAGCATCAAGAATTGACGCTCTATATATATTGGATTGTAAGAATTATTTATCATCATTCTTACTTGTTTAGGGTTCGGTAAATTAGTTTCATGTAACAATTTGGATCATACTGTATATTTAAATCAAATGATACAAAAAATACTGGCCGAGTTTGTACATTATATATAACATGATGAAAATTACATGAAATCTAATTACATGTGTTATGAAATTGTAGTTTCCGTAGCACAACCCTATACTTATTACAAAAAATCTTAATATTAAGTAATCTTAAGTAAGAATACGTAATTAATGATTTGCCTATCTCTATTTTCGATCTACAAATTTGATCAAAAATACAAAATAGAATTGGTTCCAAACTTAAAAGACAATGAGTATATGAATTTATAACATTCCTAGAATGGTTTATAAGTTATTGATTTTTTAGATCAGATTTTGTATGTATGTATGTAGATCGCTCACCTGATTGTCGTCCTTTTGTGTGACGTGCATTTCAAATATATAATTTTTTTGTTAGACATAGCTATACTCGTTAAAAGTCGTTGTGTATAATCACGAAATCGACAACAATCGTAAAATTGTGTAATGAATTGCGATATACAAATTTGATCAAGACATATGGGCGGAATTTTTAAAATTTAATTTCGGTCATTTAAAGTATGTAATATTACATGTAAAAAATAAAAAATTTTTTGTACTTCATTGGTTGATGTTTTTAATTACGTATAGTTTGTATTTATCATATTTTATATATATATTTATGATTATTAAGTTTAAATTAATATGTTTGTACGTAATAATAAAATTTTATTAAAATTAATTACTACGTAATTTTTACGTAAAAAATTTTTTTGTTAACAGTTAATGTTTTAATATTAAACAAGTACGTAGTAATAAAAATACTTATTCTCCGAGATGTCGGGAATAATGAATAATCTCTCCAGTGGTATGTGTTTGCGCCCCATACATGCGCCGCTGGGGAGATGGTTCAATAATTTCCCCGACACTGTGGTTATTTATCGTTTCATATATTACGACATGATGACGAAACTCGTATTACTAATTTATAAAAGGCGGCCCCATCAAAGTTCGGGTTGATAATCGACGTTATAATTAATTTCGACACGATCATAAGCATGCTAAAATGATATATATTGATGTGAATAACAAATATTACTAAGTAAATTCTCCGATAGTCATGATATGTAATAAACTATATAAAATTACGACATATGAAGTTACGGCATAGGTGAGAATAAAAAAATGCCAAGTATAATTAATTAATTAATTGTAACATGCTATTTGTAACAATACGTAGTATAATAAATTATGTCGGACATTCCATATTACAATTAATTTTTTACGTATATATTAACAATTTTTTATGACACATTTTGATTGATGATGCCCTATATGGCTATACCGATATGTTACAATAATACGGCCTTCGGATTCAGCCCTTTAAAAATTTGAGGTAGAAATGGGAAAACTTCTACCCGATATTATTAAACTACCCAATAAATTACATAGTCGTAATAGGTAACATATATCACATATTATATATATCACCAATCAGATTCTTCGTGGGCTGAATCCTGATTTCCTTCGGCAGCACTCGTGTATGTTTCAACATGTCGTAATTTAAAACAGTTAACGTTCGGCTTGTCCCGATGTTTAAGTTTCTGCATCATAAATAAGTCTATAACGAGTATATTAGCATATTAACCCGAAGTTTGGTTTTCATTTATTTTCTACATTACATTCAGCTTACATTTTCTGTTAATTTTTAAACAAAAAAATGTCATACATATACAGTATATATAATTATATAATATACGGGACTTAGAGAAAATGCACTTATTAATTCTGATGACTACTTGTAGAGTGATATAAAACTATTGGTTTTGTAAGATTGAAATAATAGATGTGCATGTTTCGTATTTTGTCGTCGATTTCAATACTATGTAATCACGTAACATCGTTATACAGAATCATGTAATCAGAAAATGTTTTACGTATTGACGTACCTTAATAAAAGTATATATTTATGAATATATATATGTATATACTACGCTACGTATTATACTATACATTTGTTAATTGATCGCCCAATAATCAACCAATTTCGGGTTGAAAAGTATAAACTGTACTCAATTTAGCCAATTTCAAGCTTGACAAGCATAAACTGTACTCAATCTGTTAACAAAAATAATACAACCCCTTGCAAAAAACCGGTAGATCTGGATTTTAAACATCCACGTTTAGAAAGATTTATACTTTCAGGATTTTTAACATTTCACGCTTTAAAAGATATTCTAACCATAAAATCCCATATATTTATTTATTAGCAGCCGAAATAAATCACCAATACATAAAACTCAACATTTAATTTACGTATACAATATAAAAATATAATTTAAAAAATAAATGATAATAGTAACAAGTAAAAAAAGTCCTAAAAGCCAATTTATTGTGAATCAGCGAACCCAACCTAAATGAAAGCAATAAAAAACGTCAATTGTATTACAAGACATCAAACAATACAATACGGAAAGATAAATACCCTATTATTTCCAAGATCATAAACCGTATAGTATTTACGAAGGAACACATCACCAACTATTATTAATTAATAAAATAGAGTTTATTATTATTATTATTATTACTATTAGACCTAATGGCCTTTAATAAATAATAAAATACTTACTGATCCAAATAGGTCCAAGTGGTTCAGGAATGTCAAGACCCATAAATCCGGAGATACATTGATTTTGAGCTATAACGAGGAATAGCATTAAATACTTGTAAACTAAAAAAGGAAAAAATAAAAATTATTATTGCATACCTTTCAAAATATAATCTTCACCCTTCAAAGTGAACCATTTGCCACCGAATTGTAAACTAAAATCGGGTAAACTAGGCACTCTATCGCATTCTATAACATATTGGCCTGCAAAATTCTTTTTGGCTCCAATTTCTTTGTTAATTAATTCTGCAATAGTTGTAGGTACGGCCAAAAGTGAAGATCCGGTGTCGATCGCAGCGCCAGTTCCTTCCATTTCAACTTCATCACCGTTGAAAGAAATTTTTTCAAGTTCGACTTCCCAATAGCCCTTTCTTTTCACAGGAGCCCAATGGATAGCGCCGGTAAAATGAGATTTGTCAACACCGCCAAGAACAAGTTCACCACCTAAATCTTCAGAATCGCTAAGCCAGAATGAGAAAATTGGCTCGTCAAGAAGATTACGGTTAACCATATGATAAAAAGGAGGAACAACACCCTTAACGGAAATACGGTCATAACCTTTAAGAATATTTGATCAATGTGCAAATCAGAACTATAACTCATGTATCATTTTTCATAAACTATAATGTAATTAATTTAGATAATCTTACCAAGTCCAAAGATGCCATCAAAGCGACCGAAAGCAAAAGTAAAACCGGGCTCTTTAACTGATTCACCAAAATCTTGATCTTCAATAATAACGTCTCCTACTTGTAAGACATCCTAAAAAAATTGAGTGATATTATTAATATCTAAATTTAACGATATAATAAGGTTTTAAGAAAACTTAATATGACTTACATTACTAATAATGCCTTCTAAACTTCCAGTACCATAGTGAATTTCAAATTCTGTGCCATTAGATTGGTATGTGGAAGATTGTCCCGAATCGTACCTGCGATGGAGGAAGCAAGCGATTGAGGTACAATGGGTTGATGGAACCCACAAGTTTGATGACCCCGTGTCGAATACAACACTAAATGTTTGTGGTGGTGTACCGATAGTAATTTCTCCATAATACTGTAAAATTTATTTTTGAGGTTAAAAACTTGTTGATATTCGATTTAATAAAGTTGAAAATGACTTTTTTTTTCTACCAATATAAATTGGTAGCAACATTCTTAAGATAATTTTCTATTTACTGGAATGCGCAGTTGTAATTTAAATAAATCAATCAAATATATAATCATTTATGTATTTACCTGTGCATTCATAAAATTTGATAAAGGTACTCCATGCTTTACCCTTCCATATTGATCAGGGAGAAACATTTGGTTTGCCTCTTGCACGTAGCGGGAGATACCAAAATATTTTTGAGTAAGATACTGACCAGTCAGGGAATATCGATGCACTTTCATAGCTGGAGTCTCAGGAACTTTTTTCAAAGTCATCCTTATGTAACAAAATATCACAAATCAGCAAGTTTGGTTTTACTTTTGATAAACGTTCATACCCATGAATTTATGCTAACATACTTGTGGACCGCAGCATCTGCTGAAACGTAAAGCAGAACGCTTAATAATAAAGTTATTAAGTAGAACTTCATCTTTGTTCGTTAACTTCGTTATAAAAAAAGAGACTTTATTTCGTAACAAGTAAAAAAAATTTTTTATAAAATGCAAACTTTGAAATGTTAGTTCTGTTATTTAAACTCAGAGAATAGAGCGCAAAGCTTCCCAAGGTCGTCATTTGTGTGTTGTGACCCGTAATAAATTGGCGTTAGATTCGTTTTCCGTTTAAGGTAAAATATCGTTTATTTTTTCCTGATTTTAGTATATACGTTTAACAAATTTGTACATATTACAAAAAAAAAATATAAACAATATTTTTGGCGTAGACATTACAGCACTACCAGTAAGCACCAGTTAAGCACCCCGAAATTCACGTGATCGAGATGAGATTAAGTTCATCTAACATCCGATTCACATACTGTATCTATTTATAATTTCAATGAGCCTTCACGTACCACAACAGAAAATCCCTTATTCTGATCATACGATCCAAAGAATAGACCTACCGTAATTACAGTACCAATTTACGAAGAAGTTCCAAAACCAGTATATAAACCTCCACCTCCAAACTTTTAAAGTCAATTCCTCCACCTCAGCTAATTCCCGGAGCGACGATACTTGCTCGAGCTTGTGCTGGGCGATTGGATAAAGAACGATGGCTATAGTTCATCTAATCCAAAGACTGCACCCACTTGGGAAGAACACATTAAGATGTGTAATCAGTCAACTAGAAGTATTATACGTTCTTCTATTCGTCGAGATACAGATAACTTAACAAAGAATAATCAGCGAATGCCTTATAATACGGATAAAACAGAATCAAATTTTAAAGTGCATTTATTAAGAAATGATGTGATGGAAAAAATTAAACCGATAGTGATGAGGACTCTGTTGATGAAAATGGTGACGAATGTCTTATTGAACCAAATGAAAAGTATCCTATTAATATAAATGATTTTGACCGGTCGAACTATCCTTGATTTTGGTCATCCTATTGAACTAGATATAGAATGAGTTTATGAATAACATTTCGGTAATACAAAAAAATAATGACATATGCGCTGTGGATTTTTTGGATCGCACCAGCTTCGGATTTAAATTCTATAGTAGTTCTTCGCAGGAATCTCAAGAAGAGAATGATGATTATGATGAACATTCTAATCGAGGCCTCAGAGATAGAGATGAACCGCCAAGTAAGCGTCAAAGGTTGATATACGATTCAAATTATACAGAAGCTCCAGATTGCAACGGCGAAAATGTTGAATCAACTGAACATATATAAGTGACACAGAATGTGAGGCTATCTGATTACGAAGGGGAATGTATTATTTTAACTCTTTTTTACATAAAATCGGCAAAATCGCATTGTGTTGAATCATTTCTAATTTTTCATACTATAGTAAAAAAAAATCAATTAACGATTACACCTAACATGGACTTCTTTGAGCGTCTTAAAATCCTTGCATCTAAAGCAGCCGCAGTATATCATGAAATGGAGGTTGTAGAGGAATCAACGGATACTGATCAAGTTAATGCCTGTCGTGTTAAAACTCCATACGACAATAGATATGGTTCAGTAAAGATACGGAAGAATTTTATAAAGTTAGAGTTAGTAAAAATCCTTTAATCACAAAATTGCAGAGTTGACTGGGAGAGGATCTTCTTTAGTATTGTAATTGCTTATGCCAGTCGCACCCTAACTCCTGCTGAAAATAATTACATGCTACTGAACTTGAATGTTTAGCAGTTATTTGGGCTGTTAAATATTTTAGACATTATATTTATGGATCGAGATTTACTCTTATTACTGATCACAAAGCACTACAATGGTTATTAAACTCTTTGACAATTAACAATAACAAACGGATAACTTGATGGAGGATGACCCTCCAAAAATATCAGTTTGATATAAAATATCGAGCTGGTAGCTGGAACCAAAATGTTGATTTCTTTTCTCGCCTACCTGAATATTTAAGAGATAATGGATAATAAAACATATAATCAGCTATATCAATATCTTACCTCCTTAACATTTGACTTGGACACCACTAATACAGAAAAATCTCAGATTCAGAAAGAAGCAAAGAATTATCTCATAGAAAATAATATATTATAAAAGAAATAATAATACATCACAAAGAGTAATTAAAGCCAATCAAAAACATATTATCTTATATACTTTGCATGATGAACAAGGAGTGTATTTAAGCATATTATCTACTTACAACAAAATAAAAGAAAGATATTATTGGCCCACAATGTATGATGATATTAAAAATTACATTCAAACATGTGATATTTGTCAATGTAGAAAAAATGAAGTTAAATGGCAAGATCTATTACTTTAGAAATAAAATATCCTTTTCATAGAGTTGAAATTGATATTAAAGGACTATTACCTCCTACAAAACAAAGCAACAGATATATTATTGTTGTAATAGATTATTTTACCAAGTGGTCTGAAGCAAAAGCAGTATTTAATATCAAGGCTACAACTATTGCTAAATTTATTTATGAAGATATTATTTGTCAATATGAAACACCTACAATATTGCTTTTTGATTGAGGAAAAAACTTTCTAAGTGATATTGTTAAAGAGTTGTGCAATAACTTTCAAATAAAATATTACAAATCATCTGCTTATTAATCTCAAACTAATGAAATGATTGAACAATTCAATAGAACTATTGATGAAGCTTTGGCAAAAATAACTAGCTATAAATACAAAGAGTGAGATGAAATTCTCTTTTCTGTGTTACTAGCTTATCATACTATGAAGCACAGTACTACAAAATTTACTTATTCTCTCTTATATATGGACAAAAAGAAAAATTACCAATAGAAACAATAATAGAAACTTATTATGAAGAAAATAAAATATTCCAAGAAGCTCTCTTAAAAAGAATATTTGAAATTGAAGATGTTTTATTAAAACAACAAAAAGAAGCTCTAGAAAATATTCAAAAAGCACATAAAGTACAAAAAGAATATTATAACAAAAATATTAAGCATGATAAATTAAAAATTGAAGACAAAGTTCTAGTTGCCAAATCCTTTCTTAAAAATATGTTTTCTGCTAAGTTAAAGAAACAATTTATAGGCCCTTATATAATTCATGATATATTAAATCTTGGTGTTTACAAGCTATAGACCTTAGACAACAAAAAAGTAAAAGATCCTGTTTATGAAAATTATCTAAAACTTTATTATGATAGAGAAATTAAGGATCTTCCTATACCTCAAGTTGTTATTATGCAGAACAATGCAAAGAAGTAGATCGTATAACTTTAATATTTATAAATACACCTCTGTTTTAGCATTTTCTCCAAAATTGCCAAATTCTTAAAAATTCTTTAAAAAATTAAATTTCAAGTTTTTGAAAAACAACTTTTAATTTTCTAACAATCTTTAGACTATTAAATTATTCCTATTAAATCCTTGTTTCAAAAATGGAAATACAAGTCCTTGGAAATTCTTTTCTTAGAATATTCCCAATTGAAGCATTACAGGGGCTACAACTATTCTTAATAGCATGGAAACAAGAAGTATATACTAATAAGTATCTAAGAATTGACCAGGAGACAATTGTTTTAGTAGATGAAGATAAAGCGAGAATTGAAACTTCTTTAAGTGAATTCCTCCAATATGTTTTTGTAAACCCTCCTGACTACAAATTCCTGTTTGAAGAATATACTGACTATGAAAATTGGAGTACATTATATGAAACAATCACACAAACAGCATATGCAGAAACAGAAGTTGAGCAAGATGATAATACTGAGGTTGAAAATTCTAATGAGCCAATCCAGATAGAAGATGAACTAAAAGAAAGAGGATCTATAAATGAAGTATTTCATAATAACAATGAAGAATCTAATGAAGTTATATAAAGCCTACTCAAAAATAACAATGGTTCTCAACTGAAGTTTTGAAAGAAAAAGAAGATTCTGTAGTAACAAGAATTAAAAAAGATTTGAATATCAATACTATTCAAGGTTGTATATTTGTCTCACCATTCATAGCCAATGATGATTTACAAAATTGCAAAGATATAATCAACAGAATTAGCAGATTGGGTTTAAAAGAAGAAGATAAAATTCCTTATCATAAAGTTACATACTACTTGGGAAAACTTTTAGAAAAAAATAAAGATAATTATTATATTTTGAAAGAATTCAAGAAAATATTAAGGAGAAAGTTTGAACAAATTAGAGTGATGAGAATAATAACTCAAGCCAAATAAGTTTTTGTGCTATATCAAAAGTATGGCTTGAAAAACCTTTATATTTTATTAAAAACATATACTACAAATATTAAAAGATTGTCATTAAGTCAATTTGAGAAACTAATGCAATAATATTATAAATATTTTTTTTATTCTTTATATTATTATTATTATTATTGATATTTATTAATTTTATTAACTTTACTTATTATATATTACTATTATTTTTTCAAAAAAAAAACTATTATTTAGATAATAATACCAAAAATAACAATAAATTATTTCTTTATTTTATTATTATTTAGAATATTTTATTTGATAATTTTATTAGATATAATATTTTAAAAATTTATTAAAAAAAGTATATAAAATAAAAAAAAATAATAAAAAAAAAAGAGCAACCACCTTCTTTAATTAAAACTCAACTATTCTTCAACTTATTGATCTTTGCAATATCTAATTCTTTATTTGTAATACTTGATTCTCTAATACTATGTTTAAAATCTGAACTATTAAGCTATTTTGCATTAGCTACAATTGTCCAAGCCATATATTAAATTTATAGTTCTGATATACAAGCTTATTTAGGTTATATTTTTGCAACTGAGCTTGCAAGTTAGTAACTTGGTTTGTAAAACATCAGATTATGACTAGAACAAATTAATTTCAAGAGGTTCAAGATATCTAAAAAACCAACAAGCTAAGATCATTAGAAAAAAAATACTTTTCCAAGTAATATATTTAAAAACAAGAGTAAAAGAAAAAAAAATAAAAAATAATAAAAGGGAAACTATCTACCAAGGTCTGTATTCAATCATAGCAAGTATGAAAGCACTAGCTTACTCAAATATAGAAGACTGGCAGTTACCTCAAAAGATTTAGCACATGGCCTAAAGAGTATATACACCTTCAACAAATTATATAAGTAGCAAAACAAACAAAATAAAAGAAGTTTTTTTTAAGATTTTTAGTTAAGAAAAAAAAAAAAAGAGTATTAAATAAAAAAAGTTTTTATAAAAAAAATTTTTAGGAAAAAAAATATAAAAGTAAAAAATATTAGAAGGAAGATTTGGTTGTGAGATTTTTAGAACTAGAATACAAAAGAAAAATCAAGATATAAATAGAGTTAATTAATAAATAAATTTTTCACAGAAATTTTTTCATTTAGTGCTAACAAAAAAAATTACAAACAAAAATAAGATGATTGATGAACTTAGAAACCAAAGAACAATTTAGAATATAAAAACTAAATTTAGTATAACATCAATATGAATTTTCTTATAGCAAAAAAAATGGTCACATAGTATCGACAAAAAAAATCACAAACAATAGTAATATGATTTACTAATTTTAGAAAAAGATATACAATTCCAAAATACAAAAGCTAATTTTAGTACAGAAACTAGTTTAAGTTCAAAAATCTTATAATTCCAAAAGAAAAAAAACAAAAATTTGGTAAAAACACATAGTATTGCCAAGTATTGTCAAGAAATATTACATAAAATTTTTTATGCAAGATTTTTCAAAAAGTAAAACCATGTAGTAAAATAAAGAAAACACTAAAAATTTTTTTAGTGCTATAGAAATTTTAACAAAAAAATTATAATAAAACCAAATAAATACATCATATGACTTACAATAAGCCAACGATTAATACATGTAAGTGTTCAAAATTAGCTAATTTTATTTTAATTTTTTTAATCATTTTTATATTTATATTATTATTATTATTATTATTATTATTTTTAATTTGGCAATTCTGCCTAGTGCTACAAATCAAAAATCAAAAATCGCAACTAATCGAAAAGTTGACAACTAATTGATTAAAAAATTTTTGGCAACTCATTAAAATCGAATAAAAATCGAATAATTAAAAAGTTGACAACTGATCGATTGCAAAATTTTTGACGATTTGTAGCACTAATTCTGCCTTTATTGTCTCTAAAAGTAAAGTAGGAATAGGATTTAGTTAGCTTGGTTAATTTGATTTGAACACCTTCTGGTTTAAGGGATAAGCAGCTAAACTGTAGTTTAGCCAATAATGTATATAATCATATCAGATATCAAATATGCTGTAATATATATATATATATATATATAGCTTACTATGTATTATAATCAACTTTTTTTTTATCATTATATAATTTATAAATTTATAATCTTATAACTGTTAAGAACAAATCCAATAAAAAAAATTATACCTAAATATGTAGCAAGTTTATATACAAATATTTTATATGTAAATAGCTTAAATACAAGCTTATTTTATATAAATTTATATTTTACTTTAATTTTAAGTTTATTTCTAATTAGGGTTGGGATCTCATAGTCTAGTAGTTTAGGCACCTAACTCTCCATGAGCAGGTTTTAGGTTCAAGTCCTAGTAAGTACGTTTACTTATAAATATTTGAAAGTATTTGCTGTGGAAAGTCCAAGTAAATACAAGTCTAGATTAGGAATTTCTAGAAGGAGGTCCATTGTGGAGTAGTTGGCACTATATGTAATATTGGTCATCATAGAAGGTTTTATTACACAAAGGTTGTGTATATAAATTTGTGATTGGCAAGGTAGCACCAACAACCTCTAAGGCAGCATTGGGGATCTTGTTTGGGAGGATGACCGGGTAGTAACCAGAATTGGAAATAGTGAAAAATGTGGTGAACACAAAAAGACCTGTGATAAAGAATTGGCCTTATCAGATTTGGAACACCTCTGGCAGTACGGAACTTACTGGCTAATAAGAAGTTGAAGCATGGAGACATGTATGTGTTGATAGATCCAACGGGCTCTGGTTATACCCATATAGAAGCCTTTGGGTGTTAAGAAAACTTGGGAACACCAATAAGATATAGCTAGTATAAGTGTATGTAGTGGTAATTGGGGCTACAACTGCCGAGAATCACCATAAAGAGAAACAATGATACACCTGTTACCTCTGAGCCTCATGATGTCATCCAACTATATTAACTACTAGGAGTATTCTGCGAAACATACCTGGAGACTTGTCACTATATTGGGAAGTATAGTTATTAGCACAATTACCAAAATAGATACGTTAAGACCTGGGTTCCAAAGTCACAAGAAACTAGCTAGTTATAGTAGCATGCAGGCTTGAGATACTTACCCAATTGGGTAAAGACAACTGCATGGCTTGAGATACAAACTCCTAGAAATATGCCAGTAGGAACTAAGAGAGTAATTCTCTGTTAGGCACACCAAACCAGAAGCAACAAGCACCTACCTGGAGCAACACATACCAATTTGGAAGTTGAAAGAGTAGATAATGTGGGTAATGTGGCAGACATGTAAATACTAATTGGTGGTTAGAGAGAGATATACAAATCCAGGTCAGCTATGTAGTGGAAATATGGTCAGCTCTGGTGGGTTTTAGCCATGAATAAATAGTTTGTATACCTGATATACTAGTCTTAGTACTTGAACTAATATGTATATGTATAGGCACTATCATATGTCAATTATTTAAATATTAATAAAGTTTAAGTGCAGGTGCTATATCTTTAAAAATTTAAAAAAAAAAAAAATTTATTTCTAATTTTAATCCTAGTAACAATAAGCGTAAAACTTTAGAAATAATATATAAAATAATTTTACATATACTCTTTTGAAAGACCTAAATAACTAATATATATATCATATAAATCATATAATATATATGTATATGCAACTTTACTAAACAAAACAAAAACCTATTCATAATCCATTTTATCATCAATATCAATATCTTCTATATTAATATTATTAATTTTTTTACCAATTTTTTCTATGATTTAACTTTTTAAGCATAATATTGCCTAGGCAGTTGCAAGATTTAATCTGTTATATATCTTCGAATAGTAAGTTCAGCAATTGAAAATATTTCTTTACATGGTACACTAGATGCCTAAATTATAAGAAAGTCATATGCCATGGTTAATAGAACTGAAAATTGAAGTTTATATATTTTCTACTACTCCATAGGTCACAATTTTCATTAATAGGGATAGCAAAATATCTTTCTAACTCATTCCTAATATTAGGTTGTATGGTTGTAGTTGGACAAAATTGATTTGCAAAATTTCTTAAATAAGAATGAGCATTACTCTGATTTAATAATAAACTTTCTAAAAATAGTTCTATTAAGTTCAATAAAACCAATGTAGCAGTAGTTGAATAATGAACTATTTTACTATGTAATAAAAATATGGTATTATTAGTTTCATCTCCAATTGCAAAAACTGAGCACTTAATATGAGGATCTAATATAGTTGCAATTTTAGTAGTATCATTAATATTTAAATAATATTTATCAAATTTGTGATATATAGAATCAGCCATAATATATTGTGTAGTATTATTAATTATTTCATATTCTAATTTTTGCTTTAAGGTTCAAAAGTAAAATAAAAATCACTGATTGTTGAAAATAATGATAAAAAAAGTACTAAAGTTGCAAAATATATTAGTGCTAAAACTGAAATCATTTCCTATATAATTTATATTATATTAATTAAATTATTATTATTATTTTTTTTTAATTCGGCAGTCTTGCCTTAACTATTTATTAGTACTCTGAGGTATTGCAATTACAAATATATATATATACATTTACAACTATCTAATTATTATAGATAAGACTTACCTAGTTACTAACTTAGTACCTATGTGTGACCTGCTATATGAGATTTTACTTCCTTATCAACCGTCCTGCAACAGGCCGGTTTTCAAACTCACTGGATGGTTTCCAAACCTATTTTATCATATATATCCCACTTATATACTACTATACAATGTCTACCAACTAACTTCCACCCCTTATCACTTATCATATTACTTCTAATTCATTTCTTGTATTACTTCCAAATTGGTGTCTTTCGAGTAAGTGCTCTTCATACTTCTAGTTTGGTGTCCCTGGGGAGCTACTCTAAGGACCTAATCCATATCTCAAGCCAGGTGCTGCCAGGTCATAAGACTCGTATCTCAAGCCACCGTACTAGGGTGTTATTTCACGTCAATCCAGGTATTTGCATCGTACATTACCAAATTAGGCTACTACTCCTTTTATAGTACTTTTTATCAGTATGGCATTACAGAAGTCTAGATCCTTAGGATGGGAGTTAAATATCTCATTTAATTACTGTTACAAGCCAGTAACCCAGGACCTGCGCTTCTGCTATATTTTGTTATATGCCTCTCATATAGGTTATGTGATATATTGCTCACTGGCCATCTTTATTTTCATACCACCGGAGCACTTGCTTCCATGCTTTTCAGGGTTTCTTTTAGCCAGTTTTCCTTGTTTCCTTGTGCCAGAGGTGTTTTATATTTGATAAAGCCATTCTCTTATCATAGCCCCTTACTATGTTCACTACTTCTCTCACCACTTCTGAATAATCATATACAGTCATCCTTCCAAACAAGATCCCAATGCTGCCTTAGGGTTGTTAGTGCTACCTTGCCAGTTGCAAATTCACATGCACAGCCTTCTGCAGTTACCTTCTATGACCCATGTCACACACAGTGCCTAGTCTTCTCCATAGCTCAGGGCTCTTTCCAAGAATTCTTTATCAGCCAAATATATATATCACATGGTCTTACTGTCACAGGGTTTCACATTCGAAAGCTCCCGAAGATTACAAAGATAATTAATTAAATTAATTACCACCAGCTATAATCGAACCATCAACCTCATCTGTAGAGGATTAGGTGCCTAGACCACTAGGCTATGAGATCCTAACCCAATTAAATTATTATTAAGTTTATTAAATTATTTAATTATACTATACTTTAATGCTTATAGATATATTAGCCCATCATTTGTAAAAGCTAAATTACCAAAATAATTAGAATATTGAGCTATAAGCATATTTATTTGTATTCGAATTTTTAAAAACTTAATTAGTATTAAATATGTAGAATTCCAACAAATTTCTATATCTATTTCTGGGCCCAAATAAGAAAGATTTTGTAATCTAAATAATTATTGCAAATTTTCTATTAATAAATTTGATCCTTTAACTTTTTTCATAAAATTTTGAATTTTCTTAATTATTTCACTATGTACTTGAAGACTATATTGCACAGCTAAATTTAGTATATGTGCTCCACAATATTGATGTAAAAATAAAGAATTACTAAAATTAGCTTCTAACTCATTATGTAATTGACAACTACATATAACCATAACTGGAATATTATCAGTTGTTAATGATATAATTTTTGTAGTTAAATTATACTTCTTTAATAAATCCATTAATTCTTTTGCTATATTTATACCAGTATGTGATTTGCAAAAAGGAATTATATTTAATAAACACTTGTGTATTTGCTAATTACTATTTATAGTACTTGACAAAAAAAACCTTGCACTCATAACTCAGCACAGAGATATGGTAGAAAAAAATTTTTTTATTTAAAAAAACATTAAAATTAATGCATAGTATAATTGCCTTCAGATTCAATTCACATGATGCCTCATGCTCCTTATCAAATTAGCTACGTACTCTTTAGACAATTAATTCCATTCTTTGGTTATCTGCACCTTCAGAGTACTAAGCTTTCTAATTTTTTTTTTTGCCAGATTCATTTTCATAAGTCTCCAGACATTCTCAATTGGGTTTTGGTCAGGTGACATTGATGGCCAGAAGAGAACTGCGACATCATTTTCCTCCTTCCAAGCTTTCGTGATTTTTGAACAGTGCTTCGGTCATTGTCCTCCTGCAGAATCCAACTATCACAACCTTTGCCAAAAGGTCCACGGCAGAAGGTAAAAGGGCTGTTTCATACAGAGTAGTCATATATTGCGTATTAAGGTTTCATGTAAAGCAGACTAACCTTCCAAAGCCTGAAAAAGAAAAACACTCCCATACGTAAACCTTCAATGGATACTTGACAGAATGGGTTATTTTCCTTGCCTCAACGAACTGCCAAGCCTTTTTTAACTGTTGATTCAAGTAGAACGTACTCTTATCAGTAAAAATCGTGGTGTCCCAATTGAAATTCTTATGTTTCTTCGCCCACGAGAGTCATTTTTTCCAATGCTTCTCTCCGAGCAACGGCTTCGTGAATTTTTCGTAATAGCAGGCCCACCTTTGCCAAGGTGCTATTAAATAGTGCGCACGTGAATGTCTATATTCTGTTTAAGAAACTCACAATAAATTTCTGGTGCTGAAATATCTACGTTCTCTTTTGCCAGCTTCAAAATCTGGTTGTCTTGTCTTTGCATTGTGGCTCTTTAGCAACCCGACTTTGGTTTGTTGCTTAAGTCTTTGCTTTCTTGCCATCTTTTTGCCTATTCTCTCACTATTTTTTCATCACAGCGAACCTGCTTCGCTGTTTTACGAAATGAGAGCTTGGGGCCCTTCAGGTGGCTGGTTAAAAAGGTGATTTTATATCACTTATACAAAGAAAAAGACATTTCTTTGATTTAAACATAGCATATAAGCAGCGTGGACATTTTTACTATATACAGTGCCCGAAGAAGTTTAGTATAATCTGCATACTCAATGTTCCTTGCCTGTATGAAATTTCAAGCTTCTATGCAAGAAATTTCAGAAATTACAAGTGCAAGAAAACTTTTATCAGGCACTGTATCTAATAAATAGTTATTTCTAAAAAAGAATAATTATTTGTAGAAGATTATATATCAGTTGTTAATATAACTATATCTAAAATTTTTTACAAATCTTCACTTATATTTGCTTGACGATTTAGAAATATTCTTGTAATATATAAACTAATATAATAACAACTTGATACTTTGTAATATGAATTAAATTTATTTAGCATTTTTATAAATGATTCTTTCTTAGTTACTAAAAATGGTTATAAACTTTTAATTATTTAGTTGATTAGATATTTATTATATTCAAGCTGTTCTTCTCAATTATAAAGAATAATTTCAGTTTTTGTTTTTTTGTTTATAAATATTAAAATGATTTTTTTTATATGTTCTTTTAAAGTTCTAGTAGATATTGAAGAATCATATTTAGCTATACAATATTTACAATCTTGTGATATTTCTGATTAATTAAAAAATTTATTCATTGTTAATTTTCTTTTTCTTTTAATATGATGAATAGATTCACTATGATCAACTTGCAATGAGCAAGTTGATAAAGATTCTAAATTAGATTCTGTATAGGTAGAAGTAGATCTAACAAGACCATTAAATATATCTTGAATATTTATATCTTGAACATTTATATCTTGAATGTTTATATTTTAAATATTTGTATTTTGAATATTTATATCTAAAATGTTTATTTTAAATATTTGTATTTTGAATATTTATATCTAAAATGTTTATATCTGCAACATCTATATCTTGAATATCTGTATCTAACATTTTGAATAACAAAACTAAAAAAAATTTTATTAAATTTATATAAACTCAAACAATTATCAAAATACTGTAGTAATTGTCCATAATCACTAATAACTTTTGACTTTAAAAATATACAATTTTATTAATTACTTTCTAAAGCTTTTATTTCACTAATTATACTTAAATACTAACTTTTTTATTACTTTTAACATTAGTAATTTTAATATTAATAACGAATCTTATTATTTATATATATATCAATTTTATTTTTTTTATTGTTGCAATTGTATATATATGTTATATTTTTTGTATATATATATGTAATTATTTAACAATCAAACTAAAGCTTAAACTAGTTTAAGCTATTTTATATTTGTTGTAGCTAAAACTGCAGCTAACTGGTTTGCCAAACTAATTACTATCTCTAAAGTAAGATATAAAATAATATACAAAGTGTCTGAACAAAAAGCCTGCAATTAACTAAATACCTTCAACCCTTCTACTTTTGCAATAAAGACTTACTTGGCTGCTTGTAATAGTGCCCAAGTGCAATCTGCTATAGCAATAATTCACTCATCTCTAGCATTTAACTTGCTAGAGGTTTCTCAATATAATTATAACAATTACTAGAAATCACAAAAGCTTATTGCTAGCTTTGTCGAGATTGTCTTTTTCTTAACATTTTTTTTTCTTCAAAGAGGCTAAGAAAATGGAAAAAATAAAAAAAAACAAAACAAAATAAATATAACAAAACAAAACAAAACAAAAAAAAGAAAAAACAAAGAAAAATAAAAAAAAACAAAAGAAAATAAATATGCCAAAACAAAAGAGAAAAAACAAAAAACAAAAAAAAAATAAAAAAAAAGCAAATATAAAAAGAAATACAAAAGAAAAAATATCAAAAAAAACAAAAAGAACAGTAAAAAATTCCATTTTTTAGCACTACTGTTACTCATGCTAGGCTAAAAAAAATTATATAACAAATATAATATTTATATATCTCTACTATAAA